CCCCAAAACCCCAAAACCCCAAAACCCCGTTCAGAGTCATTCATTTGACTTAAATGTATAGGAAATACAAAAAAATATTAAGAAATTCATAAATAAAATTAAACATTTTAAATGGAATCAGCAAATTCTTCAAAGCTATCAGATACTGATATTGATATGCTCGAAGGTAAAATATCTTTAGTGCTTGATAAACATCACTCAGAACAGGTGTTCCTAAATACTAATTTCACCCAACTTCATTCTATTCCAAATCACGCTGTTACATTTACATTGGATGGTCCCACCCAGCTACCAGGAGCTATTGTAATGTAAAATAACAATTAAAAATATGTAACAAACAGAAGTGAGCTGGTGGGTTAATCTAATCTATCAACTGGTATGGATGGCTCTCTGCCTTAATCAATGAACTCCAATTAGTCTAATAGATTTAGTGAGCTGCTTATAAAAAAGCAAGGAGATATAGAATATATAGTTCACAATCAAATCTTAGAGCATTTTGGGGAAGAGTGCCTACCGAAAATCGCCTAGAATTAAACTATTATATATAAAGATAAAGAGGCTTTGCCAAAAGAGTTGAATACTGAGCAGGATATTCTAGAATTGCTTAAAAAATCAAAGAACTTCAATTACCTCGAAAGTATTAGCAAGTTAGCTGAAGGAGGAGAGGCGATCATTTTTACTATAAACTATCTTGGATGTGACGAAGTGGTCATTAAGGTCCCGAAATTAAAGTTTCAAACTAGTGCAGGGTTTGAGGATATCATCTTTGAATCACAGCTTATTAAAAGCATATATCATGAAGACTATATTGTTGAGATAAAAGAAGAAATTATCGAACTTGATAAGTAAACTAATGAAGTTACCAGATATTGTGTTGTAGTAGAAAGAGCAAAATTTAGTCTTTACGATTTGTATTCAATTAAAAGCGATCCCTAGAAACAGCTCGAAAAATCAGGTCTATGGTTTAATAAGGAATTTCAATCAAATCATTTGGAATAGTTTTCTGTTGAAAAATTCCTATATCAATTTTTCCACTCATTGAAAGGCCTTAATCACATTCATAAAATGGGAGTCATTTACTAAGATTTAAAACCTTAGAACCTTTTAATTATGAGAAATTAAAAAGTTAAGTATGGAGATTTTGGAATAAGCATTCCATTAAAGAAAGATGTTGAATAATATAATCTGAGAGGTATTTCCCCTGACTGGTCTATGCCTAGTATCAAAGCAATTTATGAAGAGACTAAAGGTAAGGGTATATGGACTCAAAAATTTTCTACCTATACTCTTTAGTAAAATGATATCTATGGTTTAGTACTAACATTCTCCACAGATTTGATTAAACATTTTACAAATATGGAAAAATTATCTTAAAATCAAATGAAATACTTTAACTATTTTGCATTACTCATGAACAAAATGGCAAATTAGTGGAGTATAAATTTAGATAAAGCTGAGGAATTAATTGGCAATTACTTAATGTCTAATCTAGATTTTGTAAGCGAATATCTCACATAATTAGTTAATGAAAAAAAATTTCAAGGTGCTTATTATGTTGGTTAGTTTCTTCAAATATAAGCAACAAATATCAAAGAGGTGAAGGAGGAAGATAAACTATTGTATTACATGAAAATCTACTAAATGATGAGTGAATTTAAGTTTAATGAAGGGGATTATACAGAAGCTAAAATTAATATATCTAAGGCAGAATATTTTCTTAATACATTACAATAGAACAAAAAGCAAAAGTTTGCGTAGGACTTGATCAACCACTAGTTTGAAATTCCCTTCATGATTGCAAATATAAACTTAAACATTGGTTAATTAGAAGATGCATAGAAATATTATCAAATGTGCGAATAAATTTATCAAAATAATAAAACCCAGTTTGAAAGCAAAACTTTAGGAATCCTACTACTAAGTGGTGAAATTGCATTTTTTTAGAACAATATACAATTAGCAATGATGTCATTTCAAAAATACTTTTAAGAAGTTGATCATTAGAAACAAACTAAAGGTTCTATTAATATTTTTCAGTACATAAATGCTTTAAAGAATAATGCGAGAGTGCAATAAATCCTTAAGAACTTTGATTAATCATTAGATTATTATGAGAGAGCTTCTAAACTTATTATAGATGAATATGGTTCGAATAATCCTTAGATCATTGATTGCTTAAAGAATATTGGATCTATTTATATATTCCAGAAGAAATATGAGCTTGCAGATGAAAAGATAACAAGTGCTTTAAAAATATGCAGAAATATATTTGGTGAAAAAAATTCATTTACAGCAGAGACTTACAGATAAATGGGAGATATCTAAAGTTAATTCAACTCTGAAGAAGCATTAATTTCTTATAAAAAAGCGTTGATGATATATGATTCATTGTTCGGGCCAGATAATTAGAATAATGTAGTCGTTCTAAATAATATGGCTCATCTATATTTAAATCAATCGGATTTTAACAAAGCTGAACAACTTTGTCTTTAATGCTTGGAAATATGCTAGAAAAATGGATAATCCTAAAGTAAGCAGACTAGTAATATTTATGAGAATTTATGTAAGGTTTACTTAAATAAAAAGGAGCTTAACGAAGCGCTTGATATAATTGTTAAAGCATACAACATTAAGAAAACTATTATAGGTGCATACAATATTGAAACTTTATAATGTCTCTTGATTTATATACAAATTTTGGCTTAGTTAAATAGGGCTCAAGAAGCTAATTAGTTATGCGAGGAGGCATATCCAAAGATTTTATAAATTTATGGGGAAAAGCATGAAATAGTAATGAAATTTGCAATGATTTTGTCAAAACTGAGATTATTTTTTGGTAAAGTTGAACAATCAAAAGCGCTTTTATAGTAGTAACTTAAAAATTCTCAGTATTAGCCTGGGGAAGTGCAGGATAAAATATAATTTGATATTTTATTGAAATTAGCTTAAAATCATGAGAAATAAGGAAAGATCGAAGCAATTAACTATTATAAGTAAGCTTTAGAGCATTGCCCTAGTGCACCCTTTGAATTTGAGATTCATAGAAGTATTGCCTTCTTTTATGTCAGGAATTAAAAGATTGAAGAGGGCATGGAATACTTAAATAAATCAGAGGAAATTTTAATGATTAATAAGGATAAACACCCAATTTTCAAGTAATTTGAAACTTAGTATTTAAAACCTATTTAAGAATTAAGAGGTAAATGCCAAAAAATATTAAATTTCAAAAAGCATAACTCTCATAGTCTGATAGTTTGAATTTACAATATTTTATTTAACTATAAAAACTAAAACTAGAAAGACTTAAGGGGTTTTGGGGTTTTGGGGTTTTGGGG